TTTTTTTTTTTTTTAAATGGATTTTTAAGCCAGATCAGCAGAAATAATTCCCCTGGAAATACCCAACACTGCTTCTTCGCGTTTATGAATGAGAATTTCATTTCAACTCCAGGCCCTGTCAGTGGCTCTAATTTATTCTTTAATCTGACACAGGCCTCCAAACGCCTGCACACTCTTCATGAGGGGGGAAATATCCTGTTATAATTTTTTCTTGACTTGTTGAAAGGAAAGGATGAATGGAATCGAGGAGAAAAAGATGACCTTCATACCGCATTGCAGTATCATCTGCATCAGCGCTGTTTGCAGTTAAATTTCGCCCTATATATGTTTTTTATTAAATATTTAATTAGCTGCCATAAATCCGGTGTAGGGATTTCGCTTTGGCTCCAATTCGGGAATTTTCACCGAAATTTAAGGTGGATTTAAAAACCCTGACATGCGAAGGCCTCATCCGGTGCAATGACTGGCCTAGCTACAGCTTAAATCAAACAGATTTGAGTCACGTTTTTTTTTCTGTACTACAGCTTCTAAAAATCATTTCTGGTTCAGCAAATAAACGAATAAGGCTCAAAAGGGTTCCAAACATATGCAGACCCAGATTAAAACCTTCGTATTTCTTTTGGAATATTTGTCGAAGATTTGTTTTTGCTGCCATAATATAATTTATGTGCATTCCCAATGAGAATTAAAAAGAAAAAATAAATAAATAATAATTCGCTTCTATTCCACCACATCCTGCTTCCCTGCTCCAAATCTAAACGGGTGCTGTTTCCTTTGTAGTCAGCCATCAGTTTCACCCGAGCCACGTTTCATGCAGCTCTTCGTGGCCGTTAAAGAATATAGGAAGTCAGTTGATATGAAGTTCATCTATCTTGAAGTAATACAGATGAATACGTGAGGTAATAGATATCCTCCGACCTTGTGTCACGACTCGTTCTGTTTCATTAATTATTAAAAACACCCACAGCTGCTGGTGGAGGGGGACCGTCCTCCAGGGAAATATCTGATCCTTAAATATTCGGGCCACACGACTCTGCTCTCAGCACCCTGTTCGTGATTCACCTCATAAAGATGAGATTTACCTTTTTTCTTTAAAAAAAAAATTGTAATAATTGTAATGCAGTAATAAGCACATTCAAAGCCAGTGCACGTTTTCTTTGTCTGTGTCATCTAATCATTTGGACGTATTTTCTATTTTAATTGATCCTTCCAAAACTAATTCTGCGATTAAAAGAGATGTACAATTTCTTACCTGTACAGAGCCCCGAGGGCCTTTCCTGCCATTTGTTTCATCCCCTCTTTACTGGTGGGGAGAGCTTTCTCCTTTCCTGGCTCCATATCCAAATTATCTTCTGAAAACAATTTCTACAATACTATAACAAATATAAGTGCAGCATTAAAAAGCATATTGTTAAGATATTAATCCAGAAATAAGGCGCCTATTTCTCTTCAGCGAAAAGCATGTGTCCAGTAGAAACAAACTAAAAAATAAAATAGATGCGCCAGAAAAAAAATGGAGAAAGACGAGAGAGGCGTTCAGTCTGAAAGGGTTGCTTTCACAGTCACAAAACAGCAGTCAAATAAGTCCGCTTTTGCCTTGCGCAATGTTAATCCGTGCAGTGCCATCTTAAGATCCAGCCCGCGATAAGAAAAAGGCACCACCGAAGATCACAACTTGGATTTTTTTCCCCTCCTTTTTTATTGTTCTATTATTTGAGAAACTGAGGTGGGATTGTGGAGAGCTTGAGCCGGCGGAGATGATCGGAGCTCAGGTCTAACCTGAGGTGGGGGAATCTCCGGTGTGGGTGCAGCTGGAGGAGGTTTCAGCACCGCGGACAGCGCACAGCTCATCTACCTGTCAGCAGCTCCGCGCAATGCCCCTCCTCCCTCCGCTCCCACCGCTCGTCTCCTCTAATTCAATTACAACTTCAGATCTGTTAACAGCTACGGCTGTCAACTGCATAATCGTTCCCCACCCTTCCCTATTTTCTAATTCAGGAGAAGATAGTTTCAAGATGATTCCAGACAACTTATAAAAGGGAAAGCTCTCGAGCACTGAGCTGGTCTTCGTCGGCTTAAATCTGAGGCTGAGATAGTTTGTGAAAAACAAAACAAAACATGCTGAAAGCCTTGCTTTTGCTAAAATCCAACAAAGATATCAGCTCACTATTTGTATTTGAATTCATTTGTTTATTTAAAAGATTTGCTATTCACGCACGCAGAACCAGAAGAAAGTACAGCACGCAGTCAACCACGCAGAGGCAGTGTTGTGTAAGAAGCAGAGCAACCTTCACAGATAACAGACAAGATAAAGGAGACCAGAAACCATTGTTCTTTGCAGTGTATGTATCCGATATTGCCACTTAAGAAAGGGGGGGGCTCACAGCGGTTTGTGATCTCTGACACATTTACACAAAAAAAGAAAAACATTTAATCAAATTCCTCATTAAGGTCTAGGTGCAGGCAGTGCGCGCACAGGTGCAACACTGGACACCTCCTGCCTTTTCCTAAGGTTCATCTGGGTCCCTTTAGATGTTGCCTGCATGCGTGGACAACGTGGAAACATGGCAGCAATCGTGCCGTAAAACTCATTCCTAAACTGGCGTCCTGTAAGGCAGCTGAACAAGGGGTTAACGCAGGTAATGAGGCCGCAAATACACATCTCCAGGACGAAGGCCGTGTCTGCGGGTCGCCAGGAGGCGGGGCTGTCGGGGTAGATCGCCCGTATCACGACGGCAGCGTTGCGGCTCAGGTGATAGGGCAGGTAAAACGAGGAAAATATGACTAGCACTGCGCCCAGCAGCCGCCTGAGCCGCAGCTTCTTGTTGAGGTGATCGGGGTGGAGAGGTCGACGGCGAAGCTCTCTGATGCTGCGCAGGCCGCAGTAGCAGATGGCGAGCAGCGGGAAGAGGAAGCCGATAATGGAGCATATGAGGGAATAAGGGAGGCTCTCCCCTGTTTCACGTAGCAGTACGTACAGGGTGCACACGGTGCGGTTGCTTCCGGGGCAAGTCTGGATCAGAGTCATCCGGGCAACAGGTATGCTTAGGAGCAGCGTGGCTGTCCACACGGCCGCGCACAGCAGACAGGCCTTCCGCCGATCGAGCAGCACCAGAGAGCGCAGTGGGTGTACGATGGCCAGGTATCGGTCCACACTGATGCAGGTGACGAAGAAGATGCTGAGGTAGAAGTAGTTGTGGTAAAACATCCTCACAGCAATGCAGAGCGGCAGCCCCTGGTTCCAGTACATGTGGTTCAGATGGTAATGGATGAGGAAAGGCAAGGCCAGGAGCCAGGAGGTGTCAGCTAAGGTCAGGTTGAAGAGGAACACCGTGCTGCGGGTCCATCGCTGCAGCCGCACGGTGAAAACCCACAGGGAGAGCAGGTTGAGGGGAAGCCCGAGGATAAGCACAGTCAGGAAGGAGGCGGGCATAATGTAGAGCTCGACCACAGTTAAACCATGATGGGTGTCCAGATCACAAAGGTCTTCCTCTGGAGTCTGGATGACCACAAGCACAGTGTCCAGCTCATTGGCATTTAAATACATCATCATCTAAACTATCAATCCGATTTGTTTACTGGGCTCATATACAGAATCTAGGCTACACTAGAAGTATTCATCCTCATCGAACAACATGATAGTCATATAAGCCCTAATCACAGAGCTGAAAAATATTTCAGTTGATTCACAGTTTCATCTTTAATTGATACACATTTAAAATCACATTGAGTCTTTACAACCTACCTGAACCGGACTGTTCCCCATGTCTTTGTTACAGTAGGATCTGCACAGTGCCAAGTGAAACAACCCTGCCAACATATTTTGGTGTAAAACACACCCACCAGTGCGAGCAAACACTGAATAGTTATCAGTGCTCTCTCTCCGGCCATCTGTTCTGTGAAAAGCAACTTTGATGTCCTCGGCACAAGAGCTGCTGGTCGGCAGCATCGGTCCAAACGTGTCAAACAAATGCTCAAGTTTAATTAGTACTTTCTTTATTTTTTTGGTACATTACACATTTTGGATATAGGACTGGTTTACAAAAATAACATAAGAAAATAGAAAAAACAAATTTAAACTAAGGAAACAGTAAACTCCTTCACCTTTTTCTGTAAGCGTGGACATTTGACCTATTATAGCAAAACAAATGAAATACAGGAGGGAAGAAAGTGAGCATGAAAGATAAATAAAGGGGAATTACACACAAAAGGGAAAGTACTAGATGCATTAAGGCATTAACAGGCACTGGTTCAACTAGGAAGACATAATAAGTAAGGCAAAATGTAACAGTAAGGTGGTCACAGGTAAATACACCTCAAACAGAGTCTACAGCACAACCAGTCAGCTACTTAAATTCAAATACTTCAGAAACAGATATATCTCATGTCTCTATATAACCACATAATGTGAAATGTCCTTCATATCATCTCTAATCTTCTTGTTAACATTTAAAAGAACATTGAACTCCTTACCTACAGCACGACTCCTGTTCCATTTAAAGGAACAGTTACTCGCACACACTTCAAAACACTGCTCATGAATCTGTAGTGTCATGAGAAGAATTACATTTACATGTTTATATCTCGGTAGTCATGTTTCATTAAGTGCTTTGTGCAAAAAAAACAAAACAAAACAACAACAACCAAAAAACAAAATGTGTGTCTTTCCTTCTCTACAAAGACACTGCTGAGGAAGCCAGAAGCACAAGAAGGCGGTGATGGCTGATGTGCTTTGTGTAATGGAGCAAACATAGTTCAGTAGGTGAGGGCCGGCTTTCATTAGCTCTGTGTTGGTAAACATAGGCACATTAAAAAGGGATCTCTTCACTCCCATCTCCAAGAATGGGGCGGACTGTCAACATTCAACATCCACCAGCTGCTGCTTCTGTGGCTGAAAAACTGGCCACTGCAGGACAAAATCTGTCCATCGCCACAGCGGTAACAGCAGCACAGAGTTCCGTTCATTTAAAGAAAAAAAACAAAGTAGCTACTTCACATGTCAGGTTTGGGCCTGCAGAAACTGTCGAGGCCAATGTGAGCATATAGCAAAAAATGTGCCTGGGCCTCCTAACTGCCAGTGGCGTGAAGAACAGGAAAGGTTTTGTTAAAGTTGTGCTGCGACCTTGATGCAGAGAAATAAACAATGCTCACAGTAAAAACAGAAACAAACAAACAATAGAGCTGAACGTGAATTTCTATTGTGTGGCTCTACAAAGCTGCACATACAGTAAAAAATATTCAAGAATAAGCAAACTCTGCCTTAAAACTACATTAGTTATCATTTGACTGACACACCAATGACAACATATGCTTTACACATTAAGGCATCGAATCTTTGGTTACTCATAGTGGCACTTAACAATAAATAGGCTTGTATTTAGAACATAAGAAAGCTCTCTGGTTGACACACAGTGTATAAGATTTTGTCTTTCCTTAAACCAAATTTGTGATCATCCTCAACACCACAATTAGAACACAGAGAGTGAGAAATCATAAACATGCGACAGACGTTTCAAGTCAAGTGTCTCAAACTTTCAGCATGCATGGAGACTTGGTCTTTCACCTGTGTGATCTTCTGCTATTGCTTGATTAGCAGAAGAGGGATGGCTGTGAGTAAAGAACAAGAGGTCTAGCACTTTAGCAAGTGTCATGGCATTGCAGCAAACTGGTGGTCAGTATCAGAAAACACAAGCAGGGAAATCTATGTCACTGTGTTCGACTGACTGACCAGCAGCTTGCTGGGCTAGAGGCACTCTGATAGCACCTCATGTTTGGATAAAGATGGGTAGATCATGGGTGTGCAGGTGCAGTCATTGTTGCTGTTCTGGCTGAGCTGGATCTTCAATTTCTCCACTTCATAGTTGTGGAGGTACTCCTGGACCAGGTAGCGCTCTCTCTTTACTCGAGCCCTCACGTCAGATGGAACATCAGGAATCATCCAGGCCACAAAGAACTTGACCATAAACACAACATGCTGCAGAGGAAGAGGACACAATCAGTGAAATAAGACCAGGTCAAGAAGAAGCTTAAAAATGTGAAGCTTAAAAGGTCATTAAGTGCTGGTGTTACCTCCATGATGATGATGAAAGCCAGCTTGGCAGCCAAAATATGCCAGAACTGCATGTTGTGTTCGTACCTCTTCTTATCGTCAGGAGGATAGCGGTAATCGCGATACCTGCAGAGCAGCAACACATCACGTATTTCGATTTCTTGCAGATTTTTAAACAAACTGTGATTCCCAATTCAAGATTATTTATTGTTATTCACAAAGGAGAATTGTCACACTAACCTCCAGCTTTATATTGTTATACTTTAACTCTCAAAATAAAAGCTTTTTGTGCAGCACTTTAGTTCATTTACTGATTAAAACACATTGTTTTAGCTTCTTTACCTTAAAAACCACATTCTCTTTAGGCCAACTTTGATCTGACTGGCTGCCAGAGTGCTGCACTGTAGATGACCATATAAATGATATCTGCCGTCTATGAAATTACACAGAGTCAGGAGTAGAAAAAAACCTTTCCATGCCTGGTGTTTAGAGCAGCATAACATCGGACTTTTTGCTCACAGGAGTTACTTGTATATAAACTCAACTCAATATTTGGCCATCTTAAATGTCACTAATGTTCATTATTGTCCCACCATATATCTATATATAGATATAGATAGATATAAGAAAAATAAGAAAAAAAGAAGAATTAAATAATATTATGGTACAAAGAAGCAGATCACATTACGCATTTTCAAGAATTAAAGGCCCTGCATACCAGCAGGTGTCTTGTATTACTGTCTAAATACAGTCAATACTAACATATCATGGGTATATTGGTAATATTTCTGCAATGTGACTCAACTTTAATTTTAGTAAAATAATTGTAATATTTGAATATATAGATTACACAAAAGACAATAAAGCCACAGTCCTGCTCTCTCCATCTCGTAATTACACACACCTGCATGTTGTGATACTGCTGTTGAACCAGGATGGATATTCCTCAGGCCTTTCTTCTAGGGAGAACTGAGAGATGTTAAACACTGACAGGCTGTTGTTTATGTAGCCTTTCATATTCAGCTCATCGTGTGTACGGTAGGCATACATGTACACTAGCCGTGGGATCATATCAGAGGTGAAGGCCACGATGAATGCCTATAACAAGCAAAGAAATTATGTTAGTCTGTTTAGTTAAATAAACATAATGTGTCTGCCAAAACATTTTGAAGTAAGACCAGCACTCACATTTGTGACTACAGAGAGTACGGCCACCCCACCAAGGATTTCCTCCCAGGCTCCTATGCTGTGGGCCTTGGCTGCTACAGGGCGTCTGAACTGCGTCGTGAGCTTCCAGGCATCCACTCTAACCTCAATGATGTTGTTGATAAGTGCCAGCAGGGGTGCCAAGGGAAAGGAGGCAACGAACAGTGTGATGAAACCAAACTGGATCACTGAGACACAGAGAGGAATGAAAATGGGAAGAGACACAAATGAAACAGCACCATCTGCAGGATGACGTGGATCACTCCAGTCCACCAATCAATCCATACATCCACCCTATTCTTTTACTGAAGGTGAATATATATTTTGTAGAGCTCAGCTTCTTGTTGAGTTCAATACTAACACATCACTGGTATAATAGTAATATTTCTCAATAATCTGTCATTAGTAATGTGTGTAATAGTCTGACTGTGTACTGGATCTTTACCCATTTCCAGGTATTCATAGAAGAGGCCTAGTTGCCCAAAGCCCTGCAGGTCGTAGTCCTGCTCCCAGCGGCTGTACAGACTCTCCGGGTGACTTCGTGCCTTCCTGCTGCCCCACCAGTTCATCAGCCACCTATGTGACACCAGGGGGCGATAGAGTGCTATTAGGAAAAAGTAATCCCTTTCACACAGCCAAATTGGAGGTTGTATTGAACCACAAACAATGGTGGTGAGGAGATAACTATATTTCTCGAAGTTTCATACAGATATGATTACACTGCAAGGAGCTGAGGTTGTAAATACGTTTTAATATCCTGAGCTCACTTTGGACTCTAAAATAACATTTAAGCATCATAGTAAAAACTTGTCCAGCATTATAAAATGTAACCTACAGAATTTCAAGCAAATCAGACCACTCTTATGCTGACAACACCCAGATTTATCTTCGGCTCAATAGAAACACCTCCACTCTCATGGAATCTTTATTCAAATGCCTTGACGAAGTTAAAACCCGGATGGTCTCAAATTTTCTTACCTTTAATGAGGACAAAACTGAAGTAATTATTTTTGGACTAAGCTGTAACTTTAATGGTCCAGATTTAGATTTTTGTAACTTATTAAAACACACGTAAAAAACCTGGGGGTTTTCTTGGATAACAAACTTACATTTGAGAAACAAATTAATTCAGTTGTTCAGAGGTCCTTTTTTAAACTAAGGCTCTTATCCAAGGCGAGATCATTTTTATCCTTTAAAAACCTGGAACGAGCAATCCATGTAGTCCTCCACTGGACTGCTGTAATTCGCTATACGTTGGTGTCGTTCAGTCCAGTCTGGCATGGATCCAATTCGTACAAAATGCTGCAGCCCGCCTTTTGACCCGTATGAACAGACCCCAACATATTACCCCGGTGCTTGCCTCTCTTCACTGGCTTCCGGTGCGTTTTAGAATTAAATTTAAAATCTTACTTTTGACTTATAAACTGCTAAATGGCCAAGCACCAGACTATTTGTCTGACCTTTTGCAGATTTATACACCCTCTACAGCCCTTCGATCAAGTGGTCATTTGCTCCTTACCTTA